AGTCTCTTTGAGACCAGTAGGCAGGTTAGCCTGGCTACTAAGGTGTGGCAGCTCTTAACGCTTTTCTGAAGTAGGCAAGATGAAGGTAGCCAACAGCAAGATAGAGGGCTGGCAAGGAAGGGGTCTGAGCATGGACCTGGACCCTTACCACAGCTGTCAAGATCCTCTGGGTTTTAATATCCCACTCCCATTATCCCCAAAGTCCCAGAGAGGTCACATGAAAAGTAAGTTTGGTCTAGCTGTTCTATGGGAAGCCATGTGCTATGCTTTCGATGTGCCCCCAATGTTCATGTGCTGGAAACTGGATCTCCAATGCAAGAGGGCTGCGAGATGGGACACGGAAGAAGTGCTTAGGTCCTGAGGGTCTGTCCTCATGAATGGAGTAACAGCCTTATCCCGGGAGTGAGTTCCTGATTAAAGGATGTGTGCGGCCCCCTCCTGCTCCCTCTCCCTCTCTTGCCCCTCCGCCTTCCGCTGTGGGATGATGCAGCAATGAGGCCCTTGCCAGAGGCAGGCCCTTCACCTTAGACTTCCCAGCCTCCAAACCTATAAGAAATAAATCCTGTTCAGTCTTACGGACTGTGTTAGAGCAGCACCAATGGACTAAGATACCACAGAGGATCACAGAGGATCACAGAGGGGCAGACGCAGGGAGGGCAGTGTCCAACCCCCGCACAGGCCAGAAATGCCAGAGCAGCAGCTGCCAGGTGAGCAGGGAGCTGAACCCAGCCACAGGGCAACCTCGAAGATGTCCCAACAAAAAAGGTGCATGTAGTGACAGGGAAGAATGCTGGCACTAAAGAAACCTGAGCACCTTTGAGGTGGTCTCCTGGGAAAGGCTCCAATACCTAGCAGGCTTCAAGGTATGGAAGGAAGGGAACGATAGCGATTTCTAGAAGTGGGATGCAAGGGGTTCATGCTGTCAGAATTATCTGGAAAATTAGATCTGCAAGATAAATTGCACATAAGGACTTCCCTTCTAAGCACTTAGCCCCAGTTTCATCTTTATTTGCAACCCTCATTGCCTGTCTTCCCCTCTAGACTGTGCTTCGTGGAGGCAGGAGCTGTGTCTTCACTCATCGCTGTCTCCCCAGCTCCTAGCTGGCACACAGTAGGTACCCAAAAAATGGGATGGATAAATAAACAATTCAAAATTAAAATGTTTTGGAGTGTTTGATTAGCCTCACTTTCTCTGTGTGGCTCACCTTTTATTTATTTATTTATTTTTACCAAGAAAAGTGTATTTTCAACGAAAGGAAGACATGTCCTTGATGGAAAAAGAGTCATCTCATAAATATAGCACTGCAGCTTCCATCTCTGAGTTGTAGGCATTTACTTATTCATTTATTTAGAGACAATTGAGTGGTAGGCATTTATTTATTCACTTATTTAAAGACATTGTCTCTAAAGAAAAGAATAAATAAATGCCTACAACTCACTCTGTTGCCCAGGCTGGAGTGCAGTGGTGCAATCTTGGCTCACTACAACCTCTGCCTCCTGGGTTCAAGTGATTTTCCTGCCCGTCTCCCAAGTAGCTGGGATTGCAGGCACACATCACCACACTCAGCTAATTTTTTTTTTTTTTTTTAGACAGAGTTTCGCTCTTGTTACCCAGGCTGGAGTGCAATGGCGCGATCTCGGCTCACCGCAACCTCCGCCTCCTGGGTTCAGGCAATTCTCCTGCCTCAACCTCCTGAGTAGCTGGGATTACAGACATGCGCCACCACGCCCAGCTAATTTTTTGTATTTTTAGTAGAGATGGAGTTTCACTATGTTGACCGGGATGGTCTCGATCTCTTGACCTCGTGATCCACCCGCCTCGGCCTCCCAAAGTGCTGGGATTACAGGCTTGAGCCACCGTGCCCGGCCAGCTAATTTTTTCTGTATTTTTAGTAGAGATGGGGTTTCACCATGCTGGCCAGACTGGTCTTGAACTCTTGACCTCAAGCGATCTGCCCACCTCGGCCTTCCAAAATAAAGGGATTACAGGCATGAGCCATGGTGCCCAGCCATAAGCATTTATTTAGATAGGCAAAGGAATGTGGGTGAAAGGTAAAATGTTTATTTTTGGAAACACATGGAAACATATCCAACAGTGATTCTCAGTGATGTCCGGCTTGATGCCCCTTAGACACTGCACAAGAGTGGCTTGTAAATTAAAGGTTACATTCTGCACACAGGCATTGTAGCAGGAAGCGCTTCTTACAGCATTACAATTCTTTGAAAACTGACCATCCACACAGGATAAAACAGCATGCACTACCTTTGGCAAACACTAGCCATCTATGATATACAGTCACTACTCCAGGCACGTGGCATCACCAAGAAGCATGAGACCCACCCCAACTCTGACTGCAAGGGGAGAGAAGCATGCGTCACTCCAGGATAGTGTGGGTGCAGAACAGAAAAGAGAGGCTATTTCAGAGAGGACTGCAGATATCAGAAAAATACATTGAGAAGTTTAGCAAATAATCCCCAGTCCCCTACCCTAAGAAACCTCCCCTGACACAGAGAGAAGGGAAGTTATTGAATTAAATTTTTATAAATGAACATTTGGCACCTTTTACCTCCAGCAGCAATGGGACCTAAGCTCATTTTAAAGCAGTTGTGCTACGCAGGGTCACCAGTCCATCTGGTGACTAACTTGCAGGGCTGCGTGGTGGCAGTACTTAACAGGCTCTGTGTGCAGGGAGAAATTAATCCTACAGCAGCTACGACAGACAGAGAGAGGTCTCGCCCCAATCCACAGCAGGGCTTCCTCATCTGCTGGAGTCCTGTCTAAGCATCTCTGCAGCCTAGCCACCACAGAGCGCTTTGCACTTTGGTTTGGATGTTGACTTAATATGAAACTCCAGATAAAAGAAATGAGAAGTCTCTCTTCTCACCATGCCCTCCCCGCCTTCCTTGAACTTGGGGCCAGACCTCTGGGGAACGAGACGCTTATCTGCAAACAGTCCAGAGGCCAGTACCAAGAGGGGACTCCCATCTCTCTCCCTGTTAGGGCTTTCAGAGGGAGTCCGGGCAGTCTCCACCTCGGCCGTGCAGAGCTGGGTAATTACCGGGCGGATGAGCTCAAGCCCCTTGCCCTGCTTACCTCCCACTAAAATGCATGGCACAGCACAATCATGAAATGTGCTTATTAATTTTACTCATTTGACACTGCGCTCTTCTGCCCTGAGCTAGATGTTAGGAGAAAATGATAGGGATAGATTCTGCTCCTGTCAGACTTACCAAGACTTCCAGAAAACCAAACTATCAAAGGCCATCTGCCACCCACTAGCCAAGCATGCAGGATGACCCCAAAGGTACAAAGAGAATGCTAAAGATACAGATCAACAAAAGAGGGCATGGGAAGACGGTGAGACCACTGCCCTGTCACGCTCCCTGTGAGCCCTCCTAGGAGAGCGACCCCCGAGCCCGTCCTCTCCCACAGTGGGAGCTCCCAGTCCCTGCTTTGATTCACGACTTGCTGCTTCATCCCTAATTCATCAACAGACACTTTGGCTTCTCAAATCAGGAACATTTTTATTAGCTTCCCCCAGAGTATCATGGCACAAAGCCATACCTAATGATTCTATTTTATGGAAACATATACATTCAAACCATGCTTTGAAGTCAAGCAGTAGGTAAGACTCAAATCTTTGTCAGAAAAGATTTCTTCATTTTTTTCACTTTTAAAATGTTTATGAGCTTTCGAACAGTTGGGAAAGGGATGTGTAGCATCTGAACAGGCTCTTCCTTCCTTACTGAGGACACAGCACTGGCTGACCCAGTACAGATCGGCATTGAACATTGCAGTTCTTGATAGGTGCTGATTCTGCCCACCCACCCTCTGTTCCTGGGGACATCTGGCAATGTCTGGAGACATTTTGGTTTGTCACCACTGGGACAGAAGGGACAGGTACTACCGGTACTCACTAAGGAAAGGCCAGGAATGCTGCTGAACAACAGAGGGTGCACAGGATAGCACACAGCAAAGAATTATCTGATTGTCTTGCCCTAAATGTCAACAGCACTGAAGTTGGGAAACCCCGCCCTGGAGTTTCCTCTGCTGGACAGGCATTGCATCCTCCTCACCGCAGGACATCAGTCACTATTCTAATTGCTGTGGCAGGTTTTCAGTTTTGGCTACTTTCACTCTTATGTATTCTTGGTGCACATTTTCAGTGAATAAGAACAAAACATTGTCACATACAAAATGAGGAAAGTAAACATAAGGCCACCTTAGAATCTCGGAACACATGATAATATCCACTGTTAATTAAACCCTCCTAACGTTCCTCGGTACTTTGTAAGCTCCACCCGAATCAGAATTTACCTACTGAAACAACAAAACAACCAGTTCCAATCATCAGGACTACTGAACACCAGCACAGATGTCTACTGAAAAGCAAGGGAAGTTCTCCACTGAACTGTGGTGGTGTGGTCAGCCACAGCACTGGACTTGGAGGGGGTCTGGTAGTGATGATTCACCATATCCAAGGACTGGGACTCTGTTACTTCACTTCTCAGAGCTTGGGTTCTCCTAATCAGCAAAGAGGCAATACAGCTACTTGCCCTCCCAGTCTTCCAAAAACTCATGAGAGCTAAATGAGTTTATGGGTAGGAAACATTTTAAACTGTTAAGAGCTACACAGATGTAGGACAATGCCTTTACAATATTTATACATGCGTGACAATATATGACAACCACCGGAAGTTTTTCACAGATTCTGGATCCTTTACATGAAACGTCACAACCAGAAGTTGGAAATCAATGAATCCAACTCCTTAATTTTAAAGAAGGTGAAAATGACTATCACAGAGGTGGTCAAGGCCAGGAAATGGCCCAGATGGGCTCAGGTCTTCTGACTCCCAGACCGGAATGCTCTCCACACCCTCCCTTAAGTTCCTAGAGGAAAGAAGCGCATCTTACACAAAAGGGTCAGAGGGTCTTGGACACAGGAAATAAATACTGTAGAATCAGTGAGCAAAATGTACAAACTAGTATCTTGACTTACTACATCATAGCCTGTCGGGGCTCGGTTCCGAGAAGCCACCACCCCGACTCCCGTGATGGGATCCATTGACGTTTCTGGCAAGGCTTCTGAGAGGTCTTTGACTTCAGGCATGGTGGACTGGTCCTGGTTCAGAGAAGGAAAAAGAAAGCACAAAATTCAAACACAGCATTTACGTGAATAATATGAAGGCTCAAACAGACAGAAACAGAATCATGGGGCAAATACCATGAGCTAAAGTCCACATACATGAACTGGTTGAAAGGGTCCTGATCCTATGTGACCCTTCTCCCCAGGCAAGAATTCAAATCTTGTTCACTCTTCTCAAGTCAGCTTTGAACACTGAGCTAAAATGAGGGCTTGCCTCTACTTTCAGGAGGTAATTTTGACTCAAAATCAAGAGCAAGTCATTCTTAACTCTGCCATCCAGCTGCTTGATTTTTGAACAGATACCAGTAGCTGCTCTGAAGACACAAAAGATATGGCTAAGCCTAACAACGCCTTTCATCTCTCTCCCTTGCAATCTCTCCTGTGGAGACATAGACTTCCAAATCCACAGCCAAGGTTAGACCTTCAGCAGGCAGAACTTTGCAAAGAAGCAAGGAATTTTGCAAACATAGAAATAAATGTTCTGAGCTCGGGGTGAAAGAATGGTGTTGGAGTCCAGGCTCCATGACTGACTAGCTGGTGAGCTTGAGTAAGCAATTTCGCCTCCTGGAGCCTTCATTACCCAGCTATGAAACGAGGTCATGATACTGACCCTTGCAGAGCTACTGTGAAGACCAAGAGAGTTAAAGAGAGTGGATGTAAATGAAAGGCATGGAGAGGTCCCTGGTACACAGTAGGTGCTCATCAAAAAGTACCTAAGACTGGTCGGGTTTGGGACACACAACACCAGGTAACTGGCCAGAAATATGATAGGCATCACTCCCTAGGGTTCTGGCAGAGTCCTTTGTTGTGTTTCACCCTCGGGTCACGTGGGCACTTACTCAAAGCCAAATACTAACAATGACCATAATTCTTGCCGGGCACTTTGAGAGAAAGGGAGTGAAAATGGAATTATTATTCTGCTGCTGACTGCCTCCTGATTTGACCAGAGGAGACAGGTAGAATATAGAGAGCACTGGGTCTGGGCAGCTGGAGTGGCAATGCACCAGAAAGCAAATAAAAGAGGCAACACCATATGTAAATGAACCCAAGTACTTTTAAAAGGACAAGCAGTGAAAAAGAGCAAGTTAAATTCTACCTCCTTCTGCAGCAATTAAACTCCACTGGCTATAGGTCTGCCAGTTCTCTGAAGGCTGGTTACTGCTTCTAACACAAACCAAACACCCTACCTCACTAAGCAGGCAGGAGGAATATTCTTGCTTCTAACCTAGAATCAGAAAAGGCAGAGGCCATTATAAATGACTGCAGCCTCCTAAATAGGAACAATCAAAATGCCATATGCAAGTCTCCCATGAAGTCAGTGGAACCCACCAAAAGCTCCGGAAACAGACTTGCCAATGAAATGGAGCCAAGTCCTCGATCAAAGCGAGGAAGTGCCTGGCACAGCTGCAGTCTCCTCTTCTGTTTACAACAAAAAGCTTAACACAGCTACGCTTTACTTAATTCTTCTGAAAATAAGCTTCTAAACGACCAGGGCAGGGGGTATCACACTGCATCACTGCATCATTTTCTATTTTCAAGTTTCATTTACCAGGCAGGTTTACGTGCATAAAGCACAGGGCTTTGTGCTTCCTGCACACAGTAGGCATTAAGTAAATATTTACTGAGTGAATATACATATATGTCCCTAATAAAGGTTAAGAATTAAATATCTGCACCTGCAGATCCAGAGCAGACACTGATCAAAAGGGCTCAGCACTTGAAAAATCCCGTATTATTGGTAACATGAAAATAACACTGCTGCAGTTTGCAAAATATTGGTACCTGCTGTTGGTTACCAAGAATGCTTCGCAATTAACAACTCATTAACAGAATGTACAAATTCTGCCAGTGCTAAAATATCATGCTGTGAATTTAATAAAGAACATGTGAGGTAAGTTTTTTTTTTTTTTTTTTTTTTTTTTTTTTTTTTTTTTAACATAGTATGGCCTCTACTATAAGAGAGAGGAAAAAAAAAAGCGAGAGAGAAAAGGAGGAGACAGAAAAAGGAGGAGAGAGAGAGGGAAGTGGGGGTAAGCATGAATAAGCAGTATCTTATTTGCTGATGGATTCACTGCCACATCCCCTGGTCACAATATCCTCCCCTGTACGGCGATGACAATGGCCCTCCGCCCTGGAGCCCGCTCGCACCAGCAGGAGGGTCACCAGGCCCTGGAAGAAGCCACGCTGCTCCCACAATGCCCCGCGGTGGCCCAGGAGAAGGTTCCAAGATGGCTGCGGGCGGCCCGGCTGAGGCAGACAAAGGAGTCGGGTCTGGCCTGCCAGAGGGCCCCCACAGAGCTGTGCGCAGAGCATCTCTAACGCCCTCCGTTCTCTCTCCTTCCCCCCAGCTGCTGTGCCCCGGACGGAGGCGGCCTCTGTGAAATATGGACAAATGGCTCCCGGCCGCGCGGGCTGAGGCCGACTCATGGAGGAAACGCCATCACCAGCCAAGGCAGCTTTTAATGAGAAACGCCCAAGATATCCATGGCAGGGGCCATCACTCAAAGCCGCTTGCCCTGAATTACATATTTTCTGACTGCAAATTACTTTTAACGGCGTCTCTACCAGCACTTCAATTGACCTTCCTAACAAAAGGCCATTTATTAACTAGCGCTCCACGATTCCTGGGCTGCGGGGAGCCTCAAGCCACGAAGGATGGCCCCGCGGCAGAGGACTTGGCGAGGCCATTCCTGCGGGCCCACAGAGCCAATCGGATCGGGGAGGAGACAGCAAGGGAGCCAGGTGCTGAAGACCAGCGTGCACTTGCCTGGACTCTCACCACAAATCTCGAGGCCTACTTGCAACAGTCCCAGGGTGTGTCAACAGCCCCTCATCCAGCATCCACCTCTATCTCAGAGTCCCCACTGCCGGCCAAACCCACTAACACATGTCTGCTGCGTTTGGACCGCGCTTTCCAGCTCTCAAGAAGCTTTCTCGGGCTCCTTCCCAGTTGAAGCTCACATCAAACCTGGTAAGTAGCTGCGTCACCTCCCAGGAATGGGACAGCTGGTCTTACTCCCCAGGTCTGGTCTGTTTTCCACTGTACTAGGCAGAGAGGTACCAGCATCCCGTCTGATTGAGAAAGCAGTTTGAACACTAATTATATTTTAAAATGCCAACGCTTTTCCTTCTCTAGCTACAGCTCAGTAAGTCAAGCAAGGGGAAAAAAGTACAGAAAGATAAAAGTAACATGGGATTAATTTTCCTCACACTTCAGTTTCAAGATTCAACATTCCCCTCATAAATAATTTACAACAATAAAAATGAGCTAAGGCCATGTTTGTGTAGGATAGAGGTAAATTTAGGCCTAATGAGGGAGATCCGAGCACTGCACAGGAGGGAATAGGTTGATCTATGGCACGGTACAAGCAGGATCGACAGCTCACAGGGGCTCCATTACCAACTGGAAGTTGCAAGGCCAACTGGGAGGAGGGGGAAGCAAATGGGGGAAACTTGTGCCATCCCAGCTGTGGCTGCAAGAAGGGTCTCTATAGGGAACCCCAAAGTTGACCCAGTGTTTTGGATGACAAGACAAATGTTGAGATTTTTTTCAGAATGATAGGATTGGGCCAATCTCAGTCTAGGTGAGGAGTAAAGGTGGTGGGGTGCCAGGGATGCAAACTGGACCTTGAGCAGGTCCTCCTACTTCAACCGCACGATCATCAAGTCCCGGATGAACCCACTCCAACCTCTCCCCTGAGTGGGCATGCAGCCTCTGTGAGATCATTTCCAAGGCTGGGGGCTGCAGAGCCATACTCCAGGCAGCCATTGTCTGCCCCGAGAGGCTTCCTCTGCAAGGCAGGAGAGTAGTGTGTGTGTGTGTGTGTGTGTGTGTGTGTGTGTGTGTGTTACACGTACACACACATACATTTATGTGCATCCACATGTATACAGACTAGGAAAGCTGGGGAGGGTTAAGGTGAAGTGTTTTCCAAGCCAGGAGGGTTTCTTCCACCATGCCATGCTCAAAGAGTACCATACAACCCACACAACAAGGCGGGGGGTGGGGGGGCAAGCCTGCTTCCAGCTTCTGCCTGCAGTGCTGCAGATAGCACTTGAGGAGGCCCCAGCCCCCAGCGCTGCAGCACCTAGCCAAGGCTGTCATCCCAGGTTCATGGAGAAATGAACTTTAACTATAAAGACCCTTCATACAGACGGCACACTGCTCCCTCGTAGCTGATCAAAGAATTACTACAACAGTGTGCTTAATCCCTAAAAGTCAGCAGTGCTGGGCTTAACTGATGCTGAACATTGTTTCAGAATCAAAGGCGTGCCTCCCGGCCCCAGTCTGGGAGAAAACTGTGCTACTGTATCACAGTTGAAAACTCAGGGGAACTTTGATATCATCTCTGTTTAATTTCCACAGCCCTCCTGAGCCTGGGGTTTATCTCGTTTTATCAACTCCTGTACTGAAATCAAAACCCAACCAACAAAGCTCAGACCTCTCTCTACCGAGGCCCTTCCAGCGGCAGGGGTGTGAGCGGAGGAGTTTAAAGTGCTTTCAGGGAGCAACAACCGCAGGGGGCAGGGGGTGCTGCCTTCAAAGGAGGTGCCGTGGGCAGCGGCCCGCATTCCAGCCTCCCGCCATCTCGGCCTCCTGCCGTGGTGGTGAGGCAGGCTCAGAAGCGGCGCCAGCCAGCGCTACTGGTCAGGGCTGAAGGCATGACTGGCATACAACTTTTGAGGAGAGTAATTTCAAAGTATTAAGGGGGGGCAGGCTAAATTGGGCTACTGTAATTGAAATGACAAAACCAGTGGCTTAATTACATCCCTACAGAAGGACAAACTTGTGATCAGCTTGCTTGAAATCCAAAGTCAAGGGCACTAAAGACAAAACTGTCTGCCCACATCTACCAGCTTCCAGGGTTGAGGAAGGGAGAAGAACAAATATTTCATTCACAGTGGGAAATGCCGCAAGAGCAGATGGGCCGTCCCCCAGTAAAAGCCGCTGCGCTCCGGCCTTCATAGAGAAGGTC